CTTGTTTTCAAAATCACTGCCTGTGAAATCAAATTTGTCTTTTTTCTCTTAAAGGAGAAAAAAAAAATCTATCCATCTGCATCATGGAATCTCTAAATCACTGTTGCTTGAACATGCCTAACTCTTTCTGATCCCATTTGGGGTTTTCTTGGCAAAAATATTGGAGTGATTTGTCATTTCCTTCTCATTTTACAGATGAGGAAACTGGAAACAGGGGCAAGTGCCTTGCCCAGGGTCACCCAACTCCTCGAAGTATCTGAAGCTAGACTTGAACTCAGGAAGATGAGTCTTCCTGACTCCAGGCCCTGCACTCTATGCACTATGGAGCCACCTAGCTGCCCAGAATCTCTATATAGCTTTGGATAAAATCTCATTATTAACAGCTGAAGCTGAATATAAGACAACAAATTAATCTAGCTGATTCCTATTTTATATTTAGTCAGTCAGTAAACATTTATTAAGCTTTCACATGCATGGAGCTACAAATAAAAATGAAAAACAGTCCTCAGGGGGCTTGCAATCTGGGGGGAGAGGGAAGGGAAAGATAACAAGCAAATAAATATTTGCAGAAAAGTTATATACACGGGATAAATAGGAAATAATTCAGAGAAGAAAGGCATTAGAGTCTTTTTTTTTTTTGGTGAGGCAATTGGGGTTAAGTGACTCACCCAGGGTCACACATCTCATAAGTGTTATGTGTCTGAGGCCATATTTGAACTCAGCTCCTCCTGACTTCAGGGCCAGTGCTCTATTCACTGCACCACCTAGCTGCCCCTGGAAGACATTAGTCTTAAGAGAGGTTAAGGAAGATTTTCCCATAAAAGAAGGCTTTTAGTTGGGACTTAAAGGAAACCAGAGAAGGTATTAGGTGGAGATGAGGAGGAAGAGCATTCCAGGCACAAGGAATAGCCAGCGAAAATGCCTGGAGTTGGGAGATGAAGTGTCTCATTCATGGAACAGCCCAGAGGCCAGTGTCCCTAGATTAGAGTATGTGGGGGGTAAGGTATAAGAAGACTGGAAAGACAAGAGGGGACTACACACTCAGCTTATTGGAAATTCAATTTTAGAAAAACAAATGCTAACTCTCAAAAACATTTTCACTTAGTTTCAATTTGCCAATCTATGCCAAATCTTCAATCACAGTATGATCCACAATTTAACAGTAGCTCTAGGCCTGGAGTCGGGAAGACCTGCGTTCAAATCTGACCTCAGACACTTACTAGATGTGTGACCCTGGGCAAGCCACTTACCCCAGTTTGCCTCAGTTTCCTTATTTGTAAAATGAGCTAGAGAAAGAAATGGCAGACCATTCCAGTATCTTTGGCAAGAAAATCCCAAATGTGATCACCAAGTCAGACACAACTGAAATGACTAAACAACAGACGACAGATTGAACCAAAGCTGCCCCAAAACTTCTGAGGATATACCTGCTTCAAATAAATGTTTAACTGATCAATAAGAGGCTCATGTTAAGATATATGTCATATTATCATAATGTGTTATAACATATATGTTATACATGTTATGTTGACATAACAGCTAAGGATTAATGATCTGAATTTGAACCAAAAACACCAGAGACCTTCTGTTTGAAGTATTAGCCTACCTTAAACTTTATAAATATGTTCCTTTACTTATTGGCCTTATTAATTAAAAGGTTCACATCTGAAGGAATATAGGCAACAAGAATCTAGTAGTTAGTTGGCATTTTGGTTAGCATGAAACATTAGCCATCCTGTCTGGCTAATGGCAGATTTAGCAATTTTTTTTTTTGCTTTAGCCATAATGCACATAACCTGCTGGGAGACATGAATTATTAGAATGAATTTGAAATGACTGTAATTGGTTTCTTAACTCAGTCCAACAAGTGTTGCATATTCACAGCCATACTTACAAGTCTTTTGTATTATCAAATATTATTGAGACTATTGTTTGAGCTCCCATCTGCTCTGCACAGAACTCTCTTTGGGTAACAAACAAACAAACAAACAAAAATTTGTTCTTGACTCTCTTCTGTTAGCCACAGACATCAGACAGTACTCCTTGGGGGAAAGGTCATTTGAATTTTTTCTTCTCTAGCTTAAATAAAAGGTAGTTCTAGGAAGGGAGAGGGGCTAGCTCCCTCTCCAAACTTCAAATTCAATAAATCCTTATTAAAAATCAGAATAAGACATTATGCTAGAAACTTATGGGTTCAAATCCAGCCTCAGATGCTTATTAACTGTGTGACCCTAAGCAAGTCTTTTCATCTGTTTGCTGCAGTTTCCTCAACTTTAAAATGGAGATCATAATAGCACTTAACCTCACAGGGTTGTTGTAAGGATCAATTAGCATAGTATTTGTAATTCACTTAGTACAATACCTGGAACATAGCAGGCATTTAATAAATATTCTTTCTTCCCTTCCTTTCTCTTCTTTCCCTTCACAGACAAAGACAAAGATGAAACAATCCTCACCATCTGGGAGTTTACATTCCATTGGGAATATAATTCATTCAGAGTAAAGGAAATAATGAATGCTCAAAGTGATACAAAAAAAAATCCCAAGGGGTAAAAGGAACTAATAACTGTAGGGTTTGGGAAATGTTTCATATAAGAGCAGGTACCTATGTGATGCTTTGAAAAAAGCTAAGGATTCTAACCGGGTGAGGTGAAGATGAGTCCATTCAGGAGGGAACACTTGTGTTAGCGTGAGAGGTCAGAATGGGGCTATCCAGCAGAAAATCAGGACTTGAGTACATTAAATTATGATGGCATACCTAAGAACAGTCAATTCTACTATAATAGGACATACGTTTTTCTAAAAATCACACAATAAAAACCACAGGGTTTGTGGGAATAATGGGGTTAGGGTCACAACATTTGATTTAGTGACACATTTTTTAAAAAGATAGGAATTTTTAAATGGTAGCACAGTTTATGTATGTTCTATGGTTAAGAAATAAATATTATAATTAGTAGTGACAGCATTCATATCCTCAGGCCGTTGCTTAGCTTACCTTCGAGTTCCCATGGGCTTGATGGGGTTGCTATCTGAACCCTAGAAACAAAAAACCCTGGACTTTCCCACATGGCCAAATCTCTGGCATTTGCCTGAGGCTATAATCCCATCAACTGGCTTTCCATTGTGGCTACACCCCCAATCTCCCAATTCTCTGTTACCCTTAACCTAGCCCAGCCCTCTACTGTCTTACTTCCCTATGGCCCCCAGCCACTTTCCACCCTTAATCCTAGCTGGGCTCCATTCTCCCTTGGCCACATGGTCCAGGTCCCTGGCATTCTATTACCTCACAGTCCCTGCAGACTATTTGACCACTCCTAGACCTCTCCCATAGCATTTCAGTATATAAGGTCCATCTTTTCTCCATTAAAGTGGTCAGATTCTTATAATCTAGCCAATAGCTCACTAATGTTCAATTAGTGAGTCTGCTCAATATGATGGATGTTCTAATAAACCTTGTCTTTGACTGGAAGAAGGCTTGGGTCGAATTCTTTCAGGCAGGACACACATGTTGTGATTTTGAGGTCCCAGCACCCCAAACCTCAACAGGCAGAGGTGCCAAAGTCACAGCTATGGGTAAGAGAATGTCCCTGTCCAGCCATAAAACTTTAGGACCCAGGGACCTCAGTCAGGATAGAAGATGAAGGGGATAGCGAGGTTGAGGGGTGGAATTTGTGGGTTCAGTCCAGCCTTCCTCCACACAAAGCTTCAGTTACATTAGAAATAAACAATAAATATAGCACTATACCTTTAAAAGGACCTGAAGCTTGTTTGTGGAAGTGGGCATTGGCAGGATTGCAGCTTATGAATTCTTGTGAAGTGATGTAGTTCTCTGTTTTCCATCTTTCTCCAAGGATGTAAAAGCAAATTTCAAATTATGCTCACATTATTCCTTATTTTACCAATTGTGTTGGAATAAGTTTGCATTTGCAAAACAAGCATTGTAGCAAAACTGCATGCAATTTCTTCCTGAAACACACCAAATTCTTTTTGCTATCTCTGGGAATGTTTCACATAAAAAGATAATCAAAATGGGTAGAAGAAAGTAAATCCAAGGAATGAATGACTGGGAGAAATGTTTATGATTCAGTTACTTGCCAAAAATGAAATGCATCTAAGGGTTTTGTGTTGTTTAAAAAAAAAAGATGTTAAAAATAAAATCGGTGGCTACTAACACTACTCCCCAAAGCAGCTACGTTAGTATTTGAGGGCTTTTAAATAGGACTGAATTTTCTTATTTTTCTTTTTTTCTAACAGACCATGCAAAAATTTACCCCAAAAATGGTACTAATATTCTATTAGTATCTGAGTGCTAGAAGATTTAACATAGGATAAAGTTCAAAAGCCCTTTCTTGTCTGGGTCTAGCTTACCTTTCCAGACTTTTCACATTAATTCTCCAAGTGTGCTCTATGCAATCAAAATGGCCTATTTCCAGTTCCCCAAATCATCATTCCATAAGATACTTCCATGCCTTTGCATAGAATTCCTCCCATTCCTATCTATCAGAGAGGCTAGCCAGGGACCCACAGGTACTGGAAACCCCTGAAATCCCCATCCTTTGCCCTGGATTCCTTGCTCTGGTATTGCCTGTCTTCTCATCTGGGGAACTTGACTCCCTGTGTTTCAATCCCACCATCATCTCACATTTCTGAGGACCTATTCTATCTTGGGCTGTACCCTATCATGCTCTTTCTTTCCAGTGACTTCCAGGAATGAAGGTTTTGTTCACTTATAAGAAGCATCCTATACAATAAGCTGGGTTGGGGAAGGGCTATTTTCCTCTTCCTCTTAGGTCCTGTGGTCCTGAGAAACAGGTTTGACTAAAGTCTTGTATTGTTTGTCCTTTTCAGTCCTCGATGCAAGGCCTGGAAGCCTGGACCTGCAAGCTCAAGCCATTGGAATGTGGGAGCTTAGAATTCCAAGCCAGAAATTACAACCAGTCCAGCAATGAAGCCCTGAGAAGACAGAGTCCTGGGATACAACGCTAGAGTGGTTTGGACTTTGAACTCGGTGGGACTAATGCTATGCAGAAGCTGAATTAGACTGTGAACCTAATCCTCCTCCACTCCCCAGACACTGAGGTAATTTGTCAGTATTGTGCTACCTCTCCCCACTCCCCAGTGTTGGGGGGATATTTGTATGTTTACTATTGCTCTATCTTTTAAGTAAATTTTCCAACTGTTAAGTAGCTAAATAGGGCATGAGACCTCTAATATTGGGGGAATGAAATAGGTAGGGGCTTCAGTGAATGGCAGAGACAAGAGACCCTTCCCAACCTCCTAAGGGTGAAAGAGAGCCCTGCAGGAGGGAAGAAATGTGATTGGCAGAGGCCAGAGAATCCAAGGTACTTCAGTTTTGTTCAGATCTTTGCAACAGGGCTGCTTATCAGTTAGTTTACATTTCACCACCACTCAGTACAGCCCCATCAGATCCTGGTGACTCCTCCTCAGTGGTTTCTCTCTGTAAGAGAATCTTTGTTTCTTGGCCAATCTGCCCTCTTTCTGCTGGTTTTTCCACTGAAACAACTGCTCCGTTAAGCTAATTCTCCAGTGATCAGGTGTTCAGGGAGAGGGTAGATGCCAAATGCCTTTGGAGATTCCCACAAGGTCCTGTGCCAAAAGAAAGAACATGCAGAAAATAGGAGCCCCATCCCAGACACAGCCTTGCCTAGGAGGCAATGTGTTCACAGGCTGGCCCAGTGGGGAAAGAGAACCCCCTCACACACTGGCCAGCTGGAACTCAGAAAGTCATCTTATACCTCCTGGTCATTAGGAAAGAGAACCCTGAAAGGCCCAGAGTGTCCTTTCAGTATATGCCCAGAGTTCTGGCTCAGCAGCCAATTAAAGGAGCCCCCATGGCCTATCATTCATGCCCAAGAGGATGCTGCACCTCAAAGGGACTCCCTCCTCACCCTAGCCTCATGGAATACTTAGCTTCCTGCAAGGTTCAAATTAGTTGCCACCTCCTGTGGGAATCTTTTCCTGATCCCTGTAACTATTAATATACTATCCTCCCCAATTTATATTGCCCTTCTCTACCTGGGTAAAAAAGTCCCGTCCCTTTAGTAGAGCATAAGCTATTTGAGGGCAGAGTCTCTTCTTTTCCATTTTGTCTTATAGTATTTGGATTTAGCACTCTGCCTTACATACAGTACATACTTCTAGAGTAAGACACATACAATATCTTACATGCAGTAGATACTTAATAAATGCTGATTAAACTGAATGAAATTAAACATGCCCTATCCTTAGAGATTACCATTTCTTCATGGATCAAAGGGAAGACCTGTGGAATTTGTGGGAAAATCAATTGGGATAGTCAAGATGAACTGGAAAGCCCCAAATAGAAACAGGCCCATGACGGCATTGCTCTTTCACATGTGATTTTTAGTAAAAAAGAAAACTGAGACAAAGGTTAATACATTTTGAAATCTCAGAGTCAAGATTGTTAGTGAAAAACCAACATGAACATGAGAAATGAGGCATATATCTCCAGACCCTTTATACACAATAAAATATCTCCCCACACTTAGGAGTATCCCAGCTTAATACCATGTAGACATACCTTAAAAGTCTTTTAGCATTCAAAAATGAGAGAATACACTTTGGAAAGAGCAATAGTTCTCATTTCCTAGCATTTTATTTGAGTGACACCCCCTATTTAAATAATTTCTCTAAAGTCAGTGGGGTTTTGTAAACCCATGCTACATTTTCTTTCTTCCTCTCCACAGTGCTTAGTTGTCATCCATTTCGATTACTGCAGCTTTCCACTCATCACCATTCTTTTTCCATCCTTTCTGCACCATTCAATATCCAATTTTTCTTCTTCCCTCCATATGAATCTTGAAACTTCATTGCTTTCTTCCTTATGATGGCTTTGTCCATGTATCAATCAAGACCGCCTTAAAACTTTCTCTAAATTAAGTCCTCCCTATGTCTATATTCTTGTTTCTTTCTTTCGTTCATCCTACTAGTTCCTATACTTTCTTCTAGTATCTCTTCTTTGCAAATCTCTTGTTCAAATATTCCTAATGTTATGATTTTTATTATATACTACTCTTATCATAATCATTAGCCAATATAATCCAAGCATGAAGGAATAACACTTCCATTACTTTTGGTGGAAATGTGGATTGTTTTTGCTAGATAGAGGTAATCTGGCTTAGTGGATAATGTGGTGGATTTGCAGTCAGGAAGATATGAGTTCAAATCCTGCCTTCTACCCTTATGAGCTATGTGATTGTAAACCTCTATGTGCCTACAGTAACTCCCAAGGATTTATTGGGCTATAAATTAAGTTTTAAAGGAAGTTACAAGTATAATAATCTCTGTTATAAGAGGGATATTCCCTTACTGATGGCATTACAGATCTTTCATGTATTGGTATTCTATGTTTAAAGTATTTTGGCATTATAATATTGAAGCAGTCTGATTCAGGATTGTGATTGGGGATTAGAAAAACAATCCTCTGGGTATACACCCAAATGAACCAAAATTTCAGAATTTAAAGTCATAATCATTCAGTCATTTTCCAACATATCCAACTCTTTGTGACCCCACTTGGGTTTTCTTGGTAAAGACACTGGAATGGTTTGTCATTTTCTTCTCTAGTTCATTTTACAGATGAAGAAACTGAGGCAAGCAGGGTTAAGTGACTTGCCCAAGGTCACATAGCTAGTAAGTGGCTGAGACTGGAGTTGAACTCAGGAAGATGAATCTTTCTGACTCCAGGCTTAGTGCTCTATCCACTGCGCCACCTAATAAAGTAATAAATAATAAATATGTCACCTAGTCTAACCCCTGCGCAAAACATAAATTGAAAGTTTAATCTCAAGTTACTATTACCATTCATTTTCTTAGGTTTGCTTTAGAGATTCATCATCCATTAGACACAGAATGTTTTAGTCGTCTTTTCATAGAGAGCACTGGGCCTAGAATCAGGAAGATCTGAATTCAAATCTAGCCTCAGACATTTACCTAGCTGTGTGACCCTAGGGAAATCACTTAACCTCTGTCTGCTTCAGATTCCTCAACTATAAAATGGGGATGGGTAATGACAGCACCTACCTCCCAGAGTTGGCCTGAGGACCAAATGAGACATTTGTAAAAGCACTTAGCACAATGCCTGGCACATAGTAGGCACTATATAAATCTTATCCTTTTCCCTCCCTTCCCCTTCCCCTTTACGTTCTGCCAAAAAGCAAGAACTCAGTGACCACTCCAAAAGCTAGCCCAGGCTTTAAAAGGAAAAGAGACAAGGGGTCAGCTTCTAGTCACTGAAAAGAGCTGAGATGATACAAACAAGTTCCAAAATAGTTCCTGACATCAAGGCCACATGATCTCTAAGGAGATTATACCCAGACGGTGGCTTAAAGCAATAAGTAAAAAGGCCTTGACATTTGGCTACGTAATGCTTCTGATAAATAGTACATAACAGAGAAAAAAAGAAGAAAAGGCAGAGAGTCAGGACCAGAATACTAGGAGCTTGTTACTACAGAGATTTCTAGGTGGCATGAAAGAGGTAGCTGTAAGATGAATGCAAAACAAACTAAAATATAGAAAAGGAACCTTTCAAGCCAGGTAAGAAAGTGACTTCTGTAGCCTTAGAGCCAAAGGGTTCATCAGGCCCCAGACCCAGAGCTAAGATTAAAAGAGGTAGGATAGAGTGAGATAAGGCCTTATCATTGGCATAATTGAAATTCTAGAAAAAATATCTCCCGGTATGAAATTACTCTTCAATTTGTAATTATGTCATCATTTTTTTACTATTCCAAAAGTTCTGGCATTTCTCCTAAGTCAATTAGAAGAACACTAAGTTGTCTGGAGTAAACTTTATTGTTCAAAGTATCTAATTTTTTAAAATAGAAATTAAAATTTAATTTGATTACCAGTGAGAGAAGTATGACTTTACAACAGCCAAGCTTCATTTTGTAAATGTTCCCCTCTTATATATCATGGCCCAATCCTAGCACTTTCCTCACAACAGCCCAGAGAAGTAGGTAGCACAAGTATCATTGTCCCATTTTACAGATGAAGAAGCTAATCTTTAGTGAGCTGACACATCAGTATGTATACTTTGGACAGATACTGTGGATGGACAATAAGTTATTTTCTCAGAGTCTGAGGGCTGGTTAGTAGCAGAATCAGAATGTGAGCCTAAGACCAATGCTCTCTTCAAAATACCATTCTTCTCCTTATAGTAGTACAGGTAATATTTGAACCACCTACTTCTCCAGGTCGTTGAGATGTTCAAATGACTTAACAGCTGTGAAAGTCCTGTGTATTCATAAACACCAAGTTATTCTCATTATAAGGGAAAGTTTCTAACTGAACCAAAGCCTGATATTCTAATATTTAAATTAATTTGAGGTTTATCAACTAATTTTTTTTAATATATTGATAACTATATTTCAAAATAATTAGTTTCCTTTGTAATCCTAAATACTGTTTTTTGTGCACTTAAAAACATTCTTTTGAAAGGGGGTCCATAGTCTTCAGGAGGCTGCCAAAAAAGATCCATGATGATAAAAAATTAAGAACACCCCTAATTTAGAGCTAGAAGGAGTACCATAGAGAATATCTAGCTCAACCCCTTCATTTTACAGACGGAGAAACTGAGTTCCATAGTGGTTAAGTGACTTACCCAATGTCATACAGGTAGTGACTGAAGTGGGATTTGAATCCAGATCCCTCATCAAACATCCTTTTCACCTTATCATGGTAACTTCTGAGAAACATTTTATTTGTGAGTTAATTCACTGTAAGATGTATGACTTTAGTTTGTATTTAGCTAGAAAAAAATCTAGGATAATAAAAATGGACATTTATATAGGGCTTTCAGGTCTGCAAAGTGATTATCTCACACTGATCCTGTGGGGTAAGTATCACTAATATTATCATCCCGAGTCCGCAAATGAGAAAGCTGAGACATGGAGAGGCTAGGTAACAGAGCAATTGTCTGAAATGGGATTTGAACCCCAATCTCCCTAACTCTGAGTCTAGCCTTCTATGTTCTACACCTCGGGACTATGCAAAAGATCTAATGACTAAGGCCATTCATTATCCCATTAGAAATAAAAGTA